TACATACATATTTTAATCAACAACATATTATAACAAGTAGCCTCTATCAACAACTATGTGTCTCTGTGCCTCTTGTTGAATTAGCATTAGATAAGGTTGAGAATTAATTGTGTTTTTTCAATACATTTTAGACTGGTGAGTCATCTGCTAGCCCAGCTAGGGTTCGAGGATAACCAGCCTGCTCATATTTAGCACAGTTGGAAAGTGTGTCGTCTACTACCCCAGCTGGAGCCATCTGGTAAAAATCAATCACAAACCGACAATCACCCACTGTCCCATAACCCCGACAGCTGAATGTCCTGCTTTTTTCACAAATTAAACTACCAGTGGCGGTACAGGAGCAAATATCCAATGTCATACAATACAGAACAAGAGTTTGCCACTAACTTGGCTATATCCCCCGCCCCTGTTGCAGAATATATGACATCTAAACAAACCCTAACCTTTTTTAACCGAAGTTGAACTTGTCATGGAAATAGTAAAAAGAGAAGAGTTTGGAACCTAAGTCCATCTTGTAGCCATGGAAACGTACAGTACGGGACTTGTGACACAACTGGTGGAACAAGAGGTTGTTGTTGTTGCATTAAGTGTTTAAGAGGTCGCCTTCTGCCTAAGCAATTTCGGCTGACTTGTCCCTCTTTGGGACTCCTGTGTGTGAGAAGGGTACACATATCTATTGTGAGTTCGGTGTTCACATAATTTCTGTTTTTGCATTGATATGATTTCTATTTTCTGATATTGATATGATTTCATTTTTATCCTTGGCTGCTCTGTTATTGTGTGGTATGAGCTGTGACGTAGACCCAAGAGAATAAAGTAAAAAATGAGACCAACGCAAGGCTACAATAATTGGGAAAGTCTAGATTTCCACAGCTTTTGCCTGAAATTAAGAATTGTTCTGTCCTCCTTTTTAATTTTATTTTGTAGACATGGATAGACCAACCAGGAAAGAAATTGACGGAATATTAATATCACATGTCACCAATAATCCAGTTAAATTCATCACACAATAACATATTAGTATTTGATATTACGAAGGGCATGATCAGGTACATGTTCACTGTAGTAATGTACATACTAGTCAACCTTATTATAATGTTTATTATAGTGTAGCGCGTCATCAACGATTATTATATGATATCCTCACTTGTCATCGATGTATTGACATCGAACAATGGACGATAATTCGAAATTCTCATTCGAGCTTTAAATAGCTTCAACAGGGACAGTACCGGTGTCAGTAAAGTTTTCGTAGTTAAAAATATAATCTAAATGAGCCAAGAACAATATTGTTTTATTAATGCTTTCTTCCATGGATAGAATTGAGGCAATCTGGGCTTGCCAAATCGTTCTAGACTTGAGCTGGATTCCTTTTAAATTTATTCTCTATTGTCTGGGAGACGTACAAGTGTGTCAGTATCGCATGGAGAACTGACGTTTGGGAGAATCCAGCTGGGGCCATCATGGTTAGTGTAATCGGATATATTGTGGAGTTTCGGGTTTGGGCTGTTTTCTGAATAGAACAAGGGCTCACGGACAAGGGCACAATGTAGTGATTAAAACATCACCACCTCTGTTTATATCAGATATGTTATTGTGATTTGAAATCTCTTTTTAAACAATTGCGAGTTATTGTATACTCTGTATTCTTTCGTCATTGTAGAATATATATTTTCTATGTTGCTTCTTGAATTATCCACAAATAATGAGAACTACAATGTAAACATCTTTCTGGATATATACAATAATACAACTGAAGGGCATATGTGAAAAATGGGACTAATCGACTAATATGTATTTCTTAAACAATGTCCGTTACAGGCATTCTAATCATTATATTATACTTTGTATAGTTTAAAAGTTGAGATATATTGCATTTCAAATAATGGCAAATTGTGTATCTTTCTACATTTTGAATTCCTTGTAATTTCTGCAATAAAACCTTAACATCAGATAGTGTTATATAAGAATATGATCTATACTGTGATAAATGAATTATAAATTTGGTATTAAGAATAAATAAATTGAAATATGATAGTACAAACAAATTATTTTAGTCTGTTCGTGTGAGCAGGTAACAAAAGATCGAGGCAACTCACTAACGTACGTAACCATTTGTGAAAATATCAAATATTAAATGTTTAGGGGTTTGAACATGTGCATTGAATGACAGACAAGAAAGCAACGCAATGATTAAATTATGAATCAAATTATTTTATAAATAAAACTGAATATATAGAAAATAAAAGTTTAATTTCTCATTGTTGAAAGGTGTTTAATAATAGTTTTTGTTTGACTGATTGTCGTTAAACGCCGCACTCAACAATATACCTGCTATATGACGGCGGTTTGTAAATAATCCAGTCTGGGCCTGACAGTCCAGTTATTGACATCAAGAGCACCGATTTACGCAATTGGGATACGATGACATGCATCAACCAAGTCAGCGAGTCTGACCACCCGATTACGTTAGTCGCCTTCTAGTCTGTCTTACAGACCCTGATACAAATATATATCAAATACAGCCCATGCAAGTCTATAATATTTGGCAAGTCTAGATTACTGCAGTATCAGGCTGAAAATGAAGAGAGTGACTGGGCTCCCTTTTGTTATATTTTTATTAAGATAACCGAACAACTGTTTTTTTCTGTACGATATGTTCATTTCACAGACAAGATGTTAGTCAAGTCGCCTTGGTACAAGCATGGGTTGTTGAAGGCCTATTCTAACCCGGATCTTCACGGGTATTTTTTTTAATAATAAGGTACAATGAAATTCTGTATATGTCCATAATAAGTGAACGACGTGATATAACTGGAATACTTTTAAAAGCGGCGTTAAACCCAACTCACTCACTCACAACCATAATATGTGTATATAAGTAAATGGATAATATATCCATACACGCCAATTAAATGGGTTAGAGTGCATATGGTTCATTGATGAACTCTTTTACAAGTCTATATTTCAAGACATGTATTTGATATCCATAATAACTCCACAAAAGCTACACAATGGCGACAAAACGGTACCAGCATCACAGATACCTACAATACAATTTTGAACATGAGATACATATAATTACTTTAAAGTTAAATCATGTATCTAAATAGTAAATTAGAATGATTAAAAATATACACTTCCGACATTTTTCGTATTTTCTTTCGTTTGGAGAGAGAAGTAGTGACAGTAGTGACTGGTATCTGATGGGTGCAAACAGGTGTCGAGTCGCTGTCTCAGATGGCTCTAATTTCGTAGCTCTAAAGATCACGACGGCGATACAGACCGTGAAGTAGTTTGTCTCACAGTCCCTGAACCATATTATTTTCCCTTCCGCCCAGGCCTTACTGCAATGCTATAGCCCCAAATGAAACAAGCCTAGATGTTCAACAGGTTCAGGTTGAAATTTCCATCTCACTTAGGCTCTTTTTAAATTTAAATATAGTTTCTCGTTTTAACCAAAATAATATATTTTCAGAGACTAAGCGTTAGTCTAACCGTAAAGTACAACTATCCAAAAGATCCAATGCATGTCTATATTTCTTCAGACAGACTATCCATGTTCCTATCGATATGTATCAAAATACAAATGAATTAAATATTACAGCACAGGTGAATAGGTTATATGCGCATGTCAGCGTCGATCCTACAATATCCTTTTTGCGCAAATATATACTGATGAATTAACGTGGTAATACCAGGCAAATATATGTCCAGATGTATACATCAGTTTCATCTCGCGATCTTTATTCGTGCGTTTAGCTCTTTTTCTACAGGAGATTATGGGGTGTTACATCACACCAGAAAGCCAGGTCAAATTCAAGTCATAATTTCATGGTCCGTCTTGTATGTTGGAAACCAATATCGCAATATGGCTGAATATTGCTAAACGTGGTATAACGATTTGAATGGAATATGCTTCAAAGATAATGTTCTACCCTTTGTGCAAAAGCAGCGACGAAATGTGTAATAAATTTAAGTTTATTTTATTGTTGTTTAAATTACACGTGAATTATTCCATTTCAGAAAACATGTAGCTCAAGGAGTGGAAAATGTATGTGAATATTATGTACCACATTATTAATGGAAACAAGAATGCATTATGATAAAGATATGCAAATATTTGTAATTATATATACACTTGGGCAACTAGTAGGGTGAGTGGGTCGGGATTGGTAGGGGAGCACGTCTTGTTTAATCTGAACTGTTGGGCCGCGCATCTGCGCTTGGATGTATGCTATGTTACATTTGTATCCGGCCTGAGGTGTATAAATAAACTTTGACTTGACTTGACTTGAGAAGCAGCTATCACGTCAAATATCATGAAAAGATCACTAAAATGTGTGGTTATATTTTCTCAAAATTTATTTATTATATTATCATCATTATCATTTTAGTCGCTGACACATTCTGAGGCACTGTTACATTCATTTGTTCAGCATAAATAAACATAAACGGCATTCAGTAACTGTCAACAGTCCTTCCAATAGATTCTTTGTGCTTTCCAACAATTACTGCTTTTTGTGTTCCACACGCGATGAATCGAAAGAATTTCGACCACGTCCACACTCGAACTATTTTAGTTGCTTAACTATCGCGTGTATTTTCTACCAGTTTGCATGCACTTTGGGTTTTTGATTCATGAACCGAAAATAATAGTCAATCCTGAAATATATAACGGTCTTTTTTATATATCAATGCCGACAGCAGCTCATGTTAAGTGCAAAGTTGCACAACATCATTTCGAGTGATTATGTGAGTTTACGCTTTCAGCAATATCCCAGCCATATCACGCCGGGGGACACCGTAATGAGCTTCACACATTGTACCCAAGTGGGGAATCGAACCCGGGTCTTCTGTATAACAGGCGAACGCTTTGACCACTAGGCCTCCAACACTGCCCCATATCGTTTCGAATGTCAAGTAATCTCGTTTGTAAGCAACAACGTGTTCGCATTACGCCGTCTATTTTAAAGGTGTGCCGAACATGAAGACATGGATTTTTATTTGTAAAAATATTGATTTCTTTATTATTTCAGACTACGTTTTATGTAACCTTCTTGGCCAATCAGCAGGTCGAATGGTCTGGGTCGACTTCCAAATGCTCTGTATAAATTGTTTTTTGTGAAAGTGGTATTTGAAAAAGTGAACTAGACATCACTCCTCTGTCCATGGCGTTTAGATCTGTAAACGAAAAGGACTTAATCATAATCAACAGCTCGCCAAACAATGTTTTTAATAAGCTATATCTGCAGTGGACATACACATGTAGTTCTTATTCTTTCAGTTTGACACATGCAGCACTATTCAAGCTAAATTATGACACGGCCTACAAATAAAAGTCAGGACCATTCAAATAAGGGGTCAATAGTATGAGCAACGTTCCACGACAGACTAAGATGATACACAATCAAACAAATCATGGAGCCTGATATGCGCCCGATTTCGTTTAGTCGCCTTATAGGCTCCCGGACACGTATAGGTTACTGGGAACGAATGTTAAAATGGAATTAAAAAGGCATGGACATGAACAACTACGTAATGTTGAAAAGAAAAATGAATACATTCTCACCTTATGTTTGTCATCAACCTGTACATAGACCCAAGTGTACAGTTTTTTATACTCCCTTTGCAAAACATTATAACTGAGTGAATTTAGTCCATCGGTTGTCATGAACTTTTCTGCCTGGTTAACAAGTTTCAATCTGAAAAAGATCAAGTGTAAGATACATGTTCTTTATATATGTGTCTTATGAGTTAGTGAGTGAGTTTGATCTGTTGGCAATATTCCAGTAATATCACGCAGGCAGCTCAACTGCTCCAGTACATGCATAATTTTGATTGTTAATCAAATGGATACGATACATTATAACCGTTATACAGTAGAGTAGTAACTCATGCATTCGTAGTTGGTTTAAGCAACACATTCTCAAGATTTGGATGAAACAACTATTTATTTAACACCACAAGCAGCAATGACGGCGACCTATAGATAGACTAATTCAAGTCGACCTAGCAGTCAAGTGATTTACAACATGTTGATGAAGATCAATGATCAGCGTCGTGGTATATAGTTGGCTGTGGACTCGTTCCGACCAGGATTCCACTCAGCTTTACATATATAATTTCCAATTCTGATAAAGTGTGAACATTCTAAGTGAGCCCTTCCTTTACAACCTACCCAGATTTGTTCAGTGGATTTTTTGCGTCTCTACTGTGGTTTATCATCCTGTATCGAGCAACGGTTGCTGCGGGGCGAGACATTACCAAACCACTTTTTTTAACTCTGGAAAAAGAAATCAAGTGAACGACATATTGAGAACACTGCAAGAATCTTATTGACGATTCGTAAGTCTCCATATCAGTGTTTAACTTTATTCCGATCATCGATGCTGTTTGCAATCGTGTAACTTTCCCTGCATGATGATTTGATGCGGAAATGTGCGGCAATCCAATGTAGACTGTCAATAAATCATCTGTTTCAGTATTGATGCCTCAGTCCCAAGTTCAATCAATACAATGAAGGTATTTTGAACACGAGTGCAACAGCAAATATTTACAATTGTGAAGATCGGAGATTGATTGCATCTTGAATGTTAATAACGAAATGTTTTAGAATGCGAACATCGGAAGATTGCAGCAGTGTTTAAAAAAACTATCCATTGGATTAGCATAAGTATTGACATTGAAAAATGGGAAATATTTTGAACGTTTATTTGCATGTACGGGTGATATCAATACAAAATTTTCTTTTCAAGTACATTGTAAGTTGCGTAGTGTCTTATCGATGCCCGTACTCCACTCAAGTTCACCCATCCTTAATAAAGCATGCATACGTCCATTTTGGGAGGCCTTATACAAGGGTGGCTTAACTTCGGTTAACCTGAAGTTGTCAGATGACCAATTTTCTCTGGCCTCTTTCAAAGTTAATGGTAGAATTTGGATGTCCATTTTTATACATAAAACCTATATGTACATCGCCCGAAAGTTGGCTTTCATATAATGTATATTGTAAGCATGCGCAAAACCTACAGTTTGACAGTTACGTTAAATGAAACACCACTGCAATGTACGCCTTAGTATATTTCTATGATGATGGGGACTTATTCAGCTTCATAACGCTCCCCAGAGCCAACAGGAACACCTGTTGATATGATAATGCATATAGGAGTCAAGAATATCCACGCTATTACCCGATAACATAGACACTGCTACTCAGTATCACCAGCTAAGTCAGCTCTTACCCCAAACAGGGTATGTTGGGGACCCAATCTGTCCACGATTTCGCGTATGACTGAAAAGGGTCATTTTTGGCATGGACGTGATATTAAAAAAAAATATACAACGAAGGGACACCAAATGAGATAAGTATGCCTAATATGCATGCACATCTATGGGAATCTAACGAAACATTGGTGTTCAAATGAGACCACAACCTTACCTTTTAAGCATGTCATCATCTTCCTTGCCCCAGCCAAAGTATCTATTAGAGAAGCCATTGACTTTGTTCATGTGTTCTTTGGTTAGAGCAGTCACCCCTCCAAATGCGTTTTCATAATAAAGTCTGTGTGAACGAATATTGTAATTAAATACATACTAGTTTTATAGTACATCTTGACAATTCAAATGTGCTCAGATGTTTCGATATGAGTGTATGATATATGTTCGAAGTAGTGCTTTGCAAGATAACTGTACATTTGTTTGAAGTGTATGATATATGTTCGAGGTAGTGCTTTGCAAGATAACTGTACGTTTGTTTTAAGTGTATGATATATGTTCGAGGTAGTGCTTTGCAAGATAACTGTACGTTTGTTTTAAGTGTATGATATATGTTCGAGGTAGTGCTTTGCAAGATAAGTGTACGTTTGTTTTAAGTGTATGATATATGTTCGAGGTAGTGCTTTGCAAGATAACTGTACGTTTGTTTTAAGTGTATGATATATGTTCGAGGTAGTGCTTTGCAAGATAACTGTATGTTTGTTTTAAGTGTATGATATATGTTCGAGGTAGTGCTTTGCAAGCTAACTGTACGTTTGTTTTAAGTGTATGATATATGTTCGAGGTAGTGCTTTGCAAGATAACTGTACGTTTGTTTTAAGTGTATGATATATGTTCGAGGTAGTGGTTTGCAAGATAACTGTACGTTTGTTTAAGTGTATGATATATGTTCGAGGTAGTGGTTTGCAAGATAACTGTATGTTTGTTTTAAGTGTATGATATATGTTCGAGGTAGTGCTTTGCAAGATAACTGTACGTTTGTTTTAAGTGTATGATAAATGTTCGAGGTAGTGCTTTGCAAGATAACTGTACGTTTGTTTTAAGTGTATGATATATGTTCGAGGTAGTACTTTGCAAGAAAACTGTACGTTTGTTTCATTGCAGGATAGCCTCGCACTCAGCAATATTCTGGACAAAATTCTGGATTCTGGACAAAGCAGTCTGTTACTGTTCAAGACATGTAGGTCTACGCATAAGCAATAAAAACGACAAAACCCTTTCCATACTCAATAGAAAAGTTTAGCCATCGATTCCAGATCGGATTCCCCAGCAACGTAGGTTTGTCGTCCTAGTGATAAGTTATAATATCAATACCAAACACGGGTTTACATTGAATACTGCTGAGTTCGGTGTTCAAAAACAAACAATCATACAAAATACCATGTTTAAAAATACATTTTCATTGCATCCTGGTAAGTAATAAAACCACCAGCAGGTAAGGACGAATTCGACTCCTATCTGAATGTATAGTGAAAAGCGTTAACTTTTCAAGGAGTTAGAGAATAACAGCATGCAGTTGCAGTCTGATACCATTCGGATCGAGAAATACACACCTACGACATCCTGAAACCAGTTTAAGTACCATGCTTCATGCTAACATATAGGGGAACCTAAATGCATTTCCGGTCAAATGACAAAACTTGCAGCCCGAGGAAACCCGTGAACAAAACCTTGAAAGTCACAGTCCTCTCGCTATTCGTGTAGATTAGGGTTTCAAACTAGAATGCCCTATGCCTCTCTCCTTCATGAGCAAGAAGTTGTAGGCACTTCATGATTGATCATGAATCATCTCATGGACGATTTTAACTAAACATAGTATCACATTTCTCTGACTAGCTTCATAAGAAATTTGTTTTCAGTTCTTTAATTTCTTTCAAAGAGGACGTCCCATGCCCCGAGCAGTGTTATATATGCACTACGGGTTTTGATGGCATACTTGATTATTTCTAGTTGGTTACATGGATGCACCAACACAATTTATACCACCATTAGCGATTGGTTCAGATCACACAGAGGCGCAACTTCTTTCAAAGGATCATTCCAGCGACCTTGACCTTGACTTTCACCAACCTTACCACTTCAACCCAAATATGATATCTTCCAAATTTCATGACAATCACTTGGCCTCTCAACCACTCCAAAAAAAACAAGAAAATACTTACTTATAATGAAACTTGTCAATGGAAACTGACATATGACGTGGATTCTCAGGACATGTATACAGGTTTTTGTCATTCTCTGGAATGAGATCCACATCGTGGAAGATAAAGCACTGAAAATCATAGTCCTTCAGTGCTTCTTTGTATCCAATGTTCATTAACATGGCTCTGTTGAAAATGGTTGGTAAAGCCTGTAATGTCCAAAATGTTCCAACATCATCATTCTGAATGTTATTTCTTTGAAACCACCAGATGTCACTTTACTTTATGATAAGATGTCTATAATTCTCAAGTTACATATACAATGAGCCCAAGATCATCCAAACAAGATTCCCGGATTATTCATTCGATTCCTGGCAAACGCTAAATAGGCCAAACAGGGCTTTGTAAATATTAAGGTCAATAAAAGAGATCCAGATTTTCATGGTAAACTGATGGTTTTTTTCAAAGCCTCTACCTGTTCACCGACAATCACAACCACGTGTTTTTCAAACGAACAATGTCGGTTTACTTGATTCGAGAAAACGTACTGGCTTATGTTTTGAAATGCATACCTTTTTGGGAATATTTGGAAATAGTCTTTCCATCAAGGTTACAAGTGGTAATACAACATCGGCCTAAAGGTTCCATAAACCTTTTCGGTATCTACAGTGAAAAACAGATACACATGTGCAATGTTTGAAATACACGTTTCACCTGTTCCACAACGTAGATGCCGTAATCTAGTTGCTGTCGTTGTAACATGGGATGAAGGTTGTTGAGGAGAACCTTGAGATGGGACTCTCGGTCGCGATAGGGAACGATGATGGCCACTCGGTGACGGGACGTACAACCAGCAGGGTTGAAACGACCACCGGGTTTTAGTTCTGTGTAGCGCATTTCAAGTTCCTCAAACGGCAAAGCCTCCATCCGTGCAGTAATATTCCCTACTGAAACAACATCAACATGATACCAGTCCTGATCGAAAACAGGGACAAGAAACATTGATAACATACATTAAATATATATTAATTACACGTTGTAACTATATTTACATGATAAACAATCATACTGACTCGAGGTTAGGGCGTCATGTACATTGTATGACAGACAAGAAATCAACGCAATGATTAAATGATTTATCCAGTTATTTTATAACTATATTCTAAAACTAAATATATAGAAAATAAAACTTTAATTTCTCATTGTTGGAAGGTGTTTAATAATAGTTTTTGTTTGATTGTTTGTTGTTAAATGCCGCACTCAGCAATATTCCAGCTATATGAGGGCGGTCTGTAAATAATCGAGTCAGGATGTCCGTTTAATGTGAGAGCAAGATTGCCCCTAGACGTTTTCTTGACCCCGCAAGCATAGGTAAGGTGGTGCTTATCAATGGTCATTATCAGGGCGAATCTGGGAATCGAACGAACAACCAGCGGAACTGTGCCTTGGATTCCTGGGCAAATACCCCACAATAGAAGTAACAATGTAATGACTAGGTAGACTCTTAAACAAACGTGATGCCTCATTCACTGGGTCCTTGTGCACTTTCCAGAACAATTTGCGATGTTTCAGAACCGTTTGTGACGATATAATTGAAGAAAAACATTATATGATAAAGAGGTTATAACGATTGCTAGTTGTTGGGTGATAAATATAATGTATTAGGAACAAACACAATATGTAAATTTTGCTCACTAAGGTTCTCTCATGACGATAGTTATTCATATTACATGATATATATACTTGCCATCCGAAAACTCGCGTGATAACCTCTATTATTATGGGTAATATTTATTTGGACCCATGTGGAACCCAGTTGTCAAAACCCCTGACCAGCTGTTCAACTGTCCCACTCTAAACCCAAAGTAGGGCCCATCTGTTCATGCTGGCGGGGATCTTGTAACCCATTTACGTTTTCGTCATTCTTCAGGGCAGTTTTTCTATCTCTCTTATGTAACTTACTTTACAGCACGCTCACTCACTTCTCAACCGCTTTATTGTTCTCTCGGGTGTGACTGCTTGGTCAGTCAACTTCTATTGTCTTTTTTTCTTCAGTGTCCCAGATTCAACATTCAATCATATTCTTGTCTATCTGTTCATTTCTTACCAAACGTGCTGTATATGAGGAAGGACTTTCTATATTCACATGGGGTATTTGAGCCAAGTGACATTTCTACCTTGTGAATTTTCAAAAGCGCATGGGATTTGCATCTTTATTTTGCAATCTCAGAAAACAACCAAGTTCAGTTATGTCAAACTTTTCAACTTTGTACACCACTATACCACACGACAAATTTAGAAAAAAATGAATTCCTTGATCCATAACATTGGTGACTAAAGGTAATGCAATATTCTCGCGTTTCACATATTTCGACCTACCCGACGTATAATGCCTACCCTAGAGGAAATCTCCCCACCACTTAGTGGGGTCTTTGCCAACTATTTGCGTTTACATGAAGTAACCCATCACCTAAATTGGGTAAGATGTATGTTACATCCTGTGGTACTGCGATATGTATGCTTGTACGTATATACATTCCGCAAATATCACATCTGTAGAGCAGACGGAGAAAAGTTGTTATCATACCTCACATGTCAGAATGATGAGATCTGATTGGTCCACGTGATCTTTATAAATACTGGGTATCCCGTCTTGGAGGGGAATCTATTTCTTAGTGGAGGAATAAATGCCTTATACCCCGCCACGAGCAAGTCGGGATACACGTGGTTTTGTGATGGGCAGAATAAATATTTTATACCACGCTTCAAAGCAAAGAGCCTCACGCATTTTCCTAGTCAATGAAAGCCACGTGACAAAGCGCAAGCTAACCTCAAGCTCAATCGAACAGCTGTTTTCTATAAATTGTGACCTTGTTTGAATTATTTTACAATGTCATATTAAAACATGTCGGTGAGATAGATCCGTTGTAGCAGGATAACTCGTACCCCTCGTGATCCTGCTATAACTTTTATTGTCCTGAACATTTGTCCCCTTACCTAGGTTTGGCGATATCGAAGGACACGAATTGGGAAGAGTCTTATTTGTGTCTGTCGAAGTTTTTATACTTGATGCACTTTTTGAAATATTGCTCCACTGACGTAGCAAAGGCTGGTTGAGATCTTCAATCTTCCCCGAGTGAAATGCATTTGTCGTGAAACCACGTGAAACCAAATATATGTTGTAAATAATCATCCAGGCGACGCACACCCAGACAAGTAGTAAAACGTTGTTCTTGATCATAATTACGAATTGTTGGGGATGGAGAAACTGGAACTTCAGTCCCGATCGTTGATATCCTGCAGAGACGTCTGGTCTTGACGTATCTGTCAAGCAATATTAGAACAAAGGATGATTCTGATGACTGGTTGCCTGCGCAAAGGTCTAACGGTGAATGCCACTTCGAACTGCCTCAAATAAATGAAGTAGTCGGGGGGGAAACTTCATAGAGATCTTTGTTAATTCTTGTTATCCGTTTTGTAAATGAGATACGAATTTGAATGCTTCAACTATGAACTATTTAGAATTTAACAAATATATATAGATTACTAAAGCAGTCCCCGTTAGATACCATTTTTTTAAAAACGTATTCTTATTTGTAATAAAAACAATATTTAACGGGGTCGAATATCGTCATTTATTTATTACTCAATACACTTTGCACATTATCGAAATTCAACGTTGAAAAACATCGTTGGTTTAAAGGGGTGTTTGAATACAACTTTCAGAGCTGATGATTCGACCATAGTCTGTTCAGTCAGTTGAAAACTGGCAATGAAGTGCGCAGCTTTCTTTTCAAGATTAATTATTTTAAAAAACGATACATTGCTGATTCTAAAATCGTGTTAAATAATATTATTTTTAGAAACATCTAGAAAAGTAAGTTATAACAGCTGTATTCTTGTTTCAAAACTCGGTTTAGCTTAGATGAGGGGAGCCCTCGAGCTCGAGACGATAGACTCATCGAAACATGTCATGTTGGCTATGTTTTATCATACGAGTCAGCAGATGAAATTAGTTGTTATGACCGTTACGCTACACAATCTGTTCAAATTCAGAGGACCAAGGTTTCACAGCACTAAACTGCATTGGTTGGCATGAGGACGACATTTCTGTATTCTGCGACAGATCACAGGCAACTGCAAAAAACACACGTACTTGCCATTTTCACAGTACAGTTGAACAGTGCTACCGACATCGCAATTCAAATGGCGGGACAGTTTTTAATTATGAGTTGACGCACCGGTGACAAAAATGTCAGATGCAATTCCCTTTGCGTTATTTTACGGTGTTCTTTTAAGTGAAAAATTGGCTTGCCTTTGCATGTTTTTGTGACAGGTGCCACCTTCATCCTCTAAAATATAGTGATGCGTGAAATAATGATATTAACTAAGAACAATTAAAAAATATCAACTTACCTTTAATGCTCGCTTCACCTGTGCCCTTGAGGATGTCTGGATAACTGTTTTACATGTAAACAGCGACACAGTGATGTCATGGGCTAAAATATCCTTTGGATACACATTTGTATGATAAGGTGCTCTTCCCACTCACAGAGACTCTACCGCACACTATTTGTACACCGTTTTCGTGAAGATATCGACAACACAAATGTTTCAATATAGCACGCCATGAAGCCACACCGTGGCTCTATAAGGTTTTATATAAAAGCTAAAACAATCAATGAGCGGAATAATAAAACGATGCTTTTTGCTCCGCCTTGTACAACTGTTAACGGCCAATCAGTTTGCGCTGGTCTCCCGACGCACGTGATGCCCAAGGCTTCGCTTTCGGAAACATTACGTTTCGTATTTCTGGAAAAATGGGAACAGTTCAGAAAAAAAAAAAACAACAGCCTTTTTATGATAATTCTCATATTCTCATTAGTACGCTGCGTTTAATTACAGTGTCAGCCTTATTTACAGGTGATTCTACAACACCAGCTCTCGGTCAATTACAATCTTCCACGCGTGAATAAAGAGTTGTGCAGGTGTTGCTGTGGGCAAATACCTAGCCTCTCTCTCTCTCTCTCTCTCTCTCTCTCTCTCTCTCTCTCTCTCTCTCTCTCTAAATATATATATATATATATATATATATATATATATATATATTTGTTTGTGGATACATGTATTTGTTTGAGAGGTATTACATATTTTCGTTGATATGTGCATATATTAAGCACAACGACACAAAAAGTTAATGAAAGATGAATAAGTGCCTTGATATATTTAACGAGAACGTATCTTGTATTTTCTCCGCGATCCTGATGTGTATCATCGTTTAATGGGTCATTCATTTAAAGTATGTTGTGAGGCGATATCAAAGGCGCCGCCCAATATACACAGTGTCGTCCGGTGTACTTCCACCCCACCCTGACAGTAAAAGTTATGTAATCGGTACACAAATATCTTTGATGCGATGTCAGTGTGGAAGGAGTTTGAATTATGTCCGCCACTGAGTGACGATTGAGGAAAACTTGAGTGAATAATATGACACGAAAGCAGCTTTTAATTGCATTGCAACTTTTGGTAGGAAAATGGGAACAGTTCAGAAAAAACAACAACAGCCCTCTTATGATAATTCTCATTAGTACGTTGTATCTAATTACAGTGTCGGCCTTATATACAGGTGATTCTACAATACCTGTTCTCGTTCAATTACAATCTACCACACCATGCGTGAATAGACAGTTATGCAGGTGTTGCTGTGGGCAAATACCTAGCCTGTTGTTGTTTTTTTCTGAACTGTTTCCACAGGCTAGGTATTTAAAGGGGAAGTGTACACGCAAAAATCACTTTCTTTCTTTTTCTTAACAAAACGCAATTTTAGAATTAGTTAATATCTGTGTTTGAAAATGTAAACTCATTTTTTTCACAGTGAAAGTAGGAAGCTCACAATAGTGTGAAAATGATATACCGTTATGAGGCCTTCGTTTTTCGAGCTAAACAGGCCTGAGTTATCCCCCTTAGATTATGACGTAATTGGTGCCAATTCAACTGGGTCCCTGTCTATTCTGAACGCAAAAGATATCAAGAACAAGTTTTCGGTAAAACAACATGGCCTACGACACACTCCGGCGCAGTAGTGACTCAGCATAACACAATTCTGGCTGGCATCTGAGACGCTAGAATCACAAAACTGTACCTACACCACGTGAAGCGGCTCTAACAAAGCATGATGACGTCATAATGTTTATCAATTGGCACCAATGACGTCATATTGCAAGGGGCATAAGCCATGGTGTTTTTGTTATGGAAATAGAACACTTGGTAAATGTGAAAAATATAAATCGTTGTAATGCAAAAAATATGTTAATTAAATATGATGTTTTTATATTTTTGTCTATGACACTTCTATGTTAACACTTTTAATGTGGAAAAAGTACAAGAAAAATTGGTTCATTTCCGTGTGAACTTGCCCTTTAACCACAGCAACACCTGCCTAACTGTCTATTCACGCATGGTGTTGTAGATTGTGTGTGTGTGTGTGTATATATATACATATATATATATATATATATATATATATATATATATATATATATAAATATAAATATAAATATATATATATATATTTGTTACATGTATTACATATTGTCGGTAATATGTGGATATATTAAGAACAACGACACAAAAAGTTTCTGAAAGATGAATTAGTTCCTTGATATACGATCATGCAAAAAAAAACCAAACACTTTAATGTTGTGGAAAATAACGCCAATGAATTGGAGTAGACGCGCATGATACGTATGATAAACTATCCAAACGTTTTGAGAGCTTAGGCCGGATTCATTAAAGATCATTACAATATGTACAAAAGGTGAAATTTGTAAAACTTCTATAAAGGAAACATCCAACCAAAGGCCCTTTTTAAATAGTAATGTAATGATATAATATAAAGTATATCTCACATGATACATTATACTTTGCGCACAATTAGTTAATGCTTTAAAGGAAGGGACTGACGAAATATTATAATAACGCCACAAATAAGTTGAATTAAGTTAAAGGAGTTGAATCATGTGCCATGCTTGTAGACACATGTTTATTTTCTCGCCCGTGGGCCAAACCTTTTTCTTGCCTATGGGCGAAATATTTCAATATTGCTATAAAATCGTTGAAAATGAGTTAAATTTGTGTCATGATACTTTTATGTATTTGCGAAACAAAAACAAGAGTTTTAAGTAAATGAAAACATTCCCGCCCATGGGCCTAACTATGGGCCACTCTTCGCCCACGGGCCACACTTCGCATAGTGTAAATATTGACTTTTTGAACAATTCTTCAAAGACCGTAGAGTTTCTGGACTATTGGGTTTCCTGAATTAAAATGGGACGAGTTATGTGTTGGTTGATATATATTTTAATTAACCAATACATATCAATATTACTTGATAAAAATATTATTTTGTTTCTGGAACAATATTTACCAATCCAGATTCATTTACTGAATAGGGGGCACGGGTGGCCCAGTCGTCTAAGGCGCCGCGATTCGCTGTGCAGAGTTGCGTCCCTTGGGCACGCCAGAAACCTATGATTATGGGTTCGAATCCCGGTTAGCCCCGATTATGTTTCTAGGTTTGTCAGCACCATACCCGTGTTCGTGGGTTTCACCGAAGTGTTAAACGTCTGAGACCTGGATCACTTCGGGCTTTCCTCCCACATTAAGCAGACACGCCGCGATATAACTGGAATATGGTTATACCCAACTCACCCACTCATTTACTGAATAGCAATATGTTAAAATCATGAACAATTTCCTATTCACAGTGGGGCATCTCCCAAAATCCCACTTTTGGGGGGTTTTTTGGGTAAGAATTAATATGAGGAAATTTGGTGGGGAACTTTGGTATATAAGAAATGAATACAGACTGCCATGTTGTTTGAGTGTAGATCTTAATAATCACCGTGTGTGTGACCATGTAGACAGGATATCATTCGGATTTCGGATTTTGACAATTACTCCATGAGCATAGTTAGAATTGTTGCCTGGTGATATCAAATGTAACAGTTTGTTATCAGAGGAGGTTGATAGTGAACTTTTAGTACAACGTGGATATGATATTTATAGGATTTATAATCCTTTCTTTCTCTTTGACAAAGGATTGTGGGTATATGTGTTGGTAATCCATTCACGCTGATTGATGACAGGAGGTCACTAGACCAGTTCATGTATTCTACGTCAAAGAAGATCAGAACCTGTGTATAATTACAACATCTTCAGGATACCAATAACAACGAAATGTAGAAATGAACCAACATGACCAACATTATTATTTCATGTTAATCTTTGTGCCATGGATGTAAATATAGCTATATAAACATATGTATACGTTTCTGTTTGTGTGAAGGCGTGCATAAATACAAGAAACAGCTGATTCTGAAATTTTTCGATCACGTATTTTTAAGGGTATTTTTTGTACTTTCATCCGAAAACAAAAGTTTAAATGTTATCCTCAAAATTCATGTTATATCTTATTCAGTCAATGTTTGATTTAATACGAATTATATAACATTTATCTTACTTTGAGCGAGAGAGAGAGAGAGAGAGAGAGAGAGAGAGAGAGAGAGAGAGAGAGAGAGAGAGAGAGAGAGACACACACACACACACACAAGCAGTCATGGTAAAAACATTGGACATAATATGTGTCAAAAGAAAAGCTTGTACATCCAGCCTTATTAGGCTTATGAGACACATTAAAATACAAGTGTATCCATTGTGAAATAATAATATCAATAACACTATAAAAAATATTAAAATAAATAAAGTAGATACAACGCGGGTTGATTGATGCATTCGTACTTGGTATAAATAAATGGTATAGATAAATTAATTACAAAACTTCAAACAGGCCACACTTAGTTAAACTCCCACCTGCACCAATTTAAAAAACACCCAACCGGTAAATGTCCCCACTGCAACTTAAGAGAAACTCCTGAACACGTAATACTATATTGCACACATTACCAACAACACAGAACAACACTCCAACCCGACTGCAACAATCAAATGACACAAGCAATGCTACTAATCCCCCTAAATGACTTACAAACCTTTAAAGCACAAGACATCTCTCTAATCCAGACAGGACTACTCGGCCGCATCTAGAAAACACACACACACACACACACACACACACACACACACACACACACACACACACACACACACACACACACACACACACACACACACACACACACACATTACATACATTTGATATACATGTATATTTATTCAATAATTTCTTAGCTAAAATTGCAATACCTCCTGATCTGACTCTAGAGTCTCTGTTTCTAACATACACATCATAGCCAGGTATATCGATAGTATCAACATCATCCAGTTTAGTCTCTGCAAGTAAGATAAAGTCATAGTTGTTGATATAGGTATGAAAATCAGGATTTATGAGTTTGCTTAAGAGAACTCAAAAAGTAGGGCATTCAGTTGTCGGGGCGACACGCCAGCTTGTGATTTTAATTAATTGTTACAAGATGGCTCCAGCTGGGGAAGCAGGCGACACACTTTCCAACAATGGGGAACAGGGAAAAAACACACAATTTATTCTCAACCTTATCTAATTCTAATTAAGCAATGTATCCTATACTTAGCAGTGAGATGTTCTCGCGTTGTCGACTTTTG